GAAGAGCAGGAGGCTGTGAACGAGAGGGAGGCCAAGCACGGCGAGAGTGACACCTGGAGCGGCCCACAGCAGCGTCCGGCTGTGGCGGGAGCAGGCTGAGCGGGCAGATCCCTACAGGGTGCAGCCTCTGCCCCACCAGGAGCCCTAAGTCCTGGATCTGACAGAAGCCCATCAGCCTGGCCTCTGGGCAGCTGACCACGGCCCAGCCTCACAAGGCCCTGGGAAGCCAACGGCACACAGGGGCGACAGACTCTGCCCTGCAGGCTTCACCCCCACCCGGCCCAGTGCAGCGCTGGCGGCCGCTCAGAGTCCACACCAGGGGCAGGATCTTCTAAAGTGAAAGGTCAAAGGCCAGAGGGGAGGTTGCCAGCCATGAGGAACGTGGTGCCAGCCGGGACAGCTGAGGTCGCAAGGGTCTCCCAGCTATTAATCTATTAAACGGTGTGTGACTTTAATAGGCAATGCTGTCTTCAGCTAACTTCCAAATGGTTGTACCAAAAGGAGCTGGTGCCCACGCCCACCTGCACGCATGTCGGAGGGAGGGCGGCTGTGGAGGTGGTGCCCTTGCAGCTGTGAAGACCCCTCTGCCCCTACACCCACCCACCTCCCTTCTGCCCTGAGCCAAGTATCCCACTGGCAGCCTCCACAGGCTGGGGGCCTCATGTCCACCAGGGTCCACACTCAGGGGACCTTCCCTCCGAGGGACCCTCCGCCGGGCCTCCTGCATGGCCACAAGGACAGAGCTGCAGAAAGACCACGAGGTCCCGGAAAGCCACCTGGACCCCCTTCCCCGAAGGCAGCCTGCTGGGCCGCAGTGAAGGGCCTGTGTGCATGCGGTGGGGACATCTCACCCGCGCCGGCTGGTATTGGCCCAGTGAAATAGCTTGTGCATGGCAGTCACGCCTTCCCGCCCCATGAGGGCCAGGTCCTCACCTGTCATGATGGCGTAGTCCATGCCCAAGTTCAGGGCGAGATTCTAGACGGGAAGAGTGAGGGGAGACACAACAGATGTTCCATCTGCCTCGGCAAAGCCTGCACACTCCACCCGGAGTGTGGAGCCCCTGCCGGTCGTCCCCGCCTGTAAGCCACAGCCTGGAAGCCACAGCCTGGAAGCCACAGCCTAGAAGCCACAGCCTGCCAAACAGGAGATGTCCCCTGCCTGGAAGATGGGAGGCGCTGTTACCCACACCAGCACGCTGACCCTACATGAGGGTGGCCAAAGGACTAAGGGGAGTCCATTCCCCAGGCGACTGAGCCCCCCAGACACCTGCAGGCTGGTGAGACCCCAGCGGTCCCTGGCCCACCTGCGCAGCCAGGTGCTCTCACCTTGGCAACGAGCGTCTTCCCGGTCCCTGGTGGCCCGTACATCAGGACATTCCTATACAGGCCGTGGTTCTTCTTCGTGTTCCTTGTTGCTATGGCCATGTTGCGCACCTGCGCTTCCAGACTGGGCTGCCGGGGAAGACGGGGGCTTGGGGGACACACTCTGCACCCAGGGAAGCCTCAGGGGCAGGGGCTGCGGCAATGCCCTGTTGTGGACTCCACTCCTCGGGGTGCCGCCCAGGTCACGGACAGCCTATCCCCGACAGGG